ATCTTTAATACGCAGGGGCTCTGAGGAATTCATTTTAGATCTTGAGCAGGCTGCTAAATTCCCAGCAAAGGCGCTATGTCTGTTGCGCATGGTCGTGATCCCCCGCTCAAGGTGGTCGACCTTCAATGCACAGGCAACCATGACTCCGTGAAGTGCAGGATGTCGGGACAGCTTGCCAGTCACAACTTGCTTGACCAATTCCAAATCCTTCTCCGATGAGTTGGGATCGTTCTGCATGTAGTTGACAAGCTGCTGCAAGTACTTCTCCTTCAAGCAGTGCCCAGGCTCACAATCCAGGCATGGTCGTACTGTATGCAAATGGAACATCTTGCAAGCCTCAGTCATTTTGTGAGCAGCTCTCCCACACCAAATTGCCCGGACCTTTTGCCACAGCTCATCCACAGGGAGAGCAATGAACCTGTCGTACGTCGTTTGGCAGCGGAACATGTAGTTGGCCTTGGACTGGAATTGCTCCACCACACTCTCTACAGTTTCTGCAGCAAACATCCTGGCAAAGAGTAGCCGAGCCTGGTCGAGATCTGCAACAAACGATGCTATTTTGCTCAGAAACCTCTTCTCAGATCCCAATGCCAAGCATAATGAGCAGGTTCTATTTCCTTCCTCATCAACTCTCACCTTAGCATTCTCACGCTGGCACCTGCAGTGTCTCAAGGTCCAGTCATCGGAAGTGCAGTGGTATTCAAACTCATGGCAAGAGCCTGCAAAGGGATGAGAGGCTTGCAAGTCAGCAAAGGTTGTATATTCTTTCCAGACAGGAAGCAGGTCTGTACCAAGACGCGTCTTTTGCCCCCAAGGTTCAGACAGTTTGAGACCTGGACACTGTCCAATGGAAAGGCTGTGTGTTAAGGCGTCCATCTCCTCCACCTCAGTCTTCACGAGAGACTTGCCCTTCCATTTTGCCCTGTGTTCCTGGCCGCGGCAGTGTTGCCAGATCTTGGCGCGGTTTCGCCCTTGAACACTTTTGCGGCAATGCTCACAGTAGACTGCGTGTTTGTCATCCTGTGTTGGTTTCTTGAACAGGTTGTGGAGCTTCATGAGCTCCTCTTTGGACATCAGTTCCTCAGCTACATTCTGGGCTACAGTCTCGGCTACATTCTCGGGATCCGAAACAGGTTCCTGCTTCACACGCTCCTGCTTCACACAAGGACGCTCTTCCTTCACCTTTGAGGCTCCCTCCTGGGTCCCTTCAGCCTGTCCACTCGGTTTGTCTGGTGTGTCCCGCGCATCTTTCAAGCGCTTCAAAGCAGCACTTGTTGGCTTGGCGCCAGATTCAATGTCCTGCACCACCTGCTCTTGCAACTTGCGGATGGAGGCGACAAGAACAGCGCTATCGATCTCGTTGGACTCAAACATCTTCTGGCAAACTGAGCACTTGTCTGGCCACTCTGCTTTCACCTCAACGCATCTCAACCCTGGGGTTGGGGTTGGGGTCAAGGGTTTTTATTATCCATAGCTGGTTGGATTGAAATATTCCTTGAATAATGCTTGAAAGTTGAACCCAGGATTCTATTTGGGGTTGGGGTCAAGGATTTTAGATGATTTCAGTATACATTATTCGAGAGACATATTGAAACAAAAAACGGTTGGTTGAATCGTGAACAGAGGCGCAACACTCAGCATGAATGAGTTCCAGAAGCCATAGGGGCACAAGTGTCGACCTCGCACATGAACGCATTCCCTTCGATGCTCACAAGTCCAGCTCCTGTAGGTGATGTTCATCTCAGCCAGCCACCTCTCGACGTACTTCTCAGCTGTGATTCTGCTGCTGATGGGCAAAGCTTTGCCAGTGCGCTTCCGCTTTCTAGCAGCCTGGTGGTCCTCTGCCTGGCGCACGATGTCCACGGTTTCACGGGGAGTATCACCGCCATAGACCAGCCTGCAACCTTTTAGGCCAATCTTATCGGGAGTGAACGGAAGATTGTCTTCCTGCTTTCGACGCTGCGGGGTGGCCACTTCTGATACCCGCCGGGCGTCTAGATTCTCAATGCCCTGGCAGAAGTGGCCCCACACTTGTTGCCACAGGTTGGTGTGCGCAGCAGACTTCCAGTATTGCTTGAGCTCACACCGGATCGATGTAGCTGTGTCCATAGAGAATTCTGGAGAGAGACATGTACCTTGCGGCAATTCAGAAACGATCGCGTGCAAGGCCCAAACGCCGCAGTTGCCATCTGCAGGCACATCGACACAAACCACCCCTGCTTCCCACAAGGCAGCAACCATCACATCGAAATTCACCTGGGCCTTTTGCTTCTCCTGCAAGTCGTACTCCAGCGTTGCCCTCGCAGCCTTGCCTAGGCTCTTGTCATCGAGCTGTTTCTGGAGCTGCGCGATGCTCTTCTCCATTCTGCACTGTGCGTCCAGCTTGTGGAACTCTCGCATCTCAGCGGCTACATCTTGCCCCAAATCAGCCACAAGCCAACCAGGCAGCCAATGCAGACACTGATCATAAGTCGCTGTAGGGGAGAAGTTGGTCGCACAAAGAATGCAAACACCAACACCCTTTCTCGGCGGCTGATCGAGTAGCTTTTCGAAGGTCTCTACATTGGCAGGCATTGTCTCGCCCACAAACTCCACAGCATCAACAAGCTTCTTTAGACCTTCTGGCAATTTTCCGCTTGGTTTTAGTTCCAACAAAAATGTCGAGAGAAGACGGTGCATAAAACAAAACCATCCAACACGAGACAACAGGCCCTAAATCCCTCACACCGAAACCTGTAATACATCCCTCAGAAGGCGAAGCGAAAAAGAAGAAACACCAGCGCTTCATAATTCACGGGCGGTGTGTTTTTCAGCGCCCTGCCTTCAGCGAAGCAAAACAGTTTCATTTCGTAGCCTCTCCTGGTCAAGAACAGGTAAAGGTCCGGGAACTGCAGGAATGTCTTGTCGATCATGCTTCGCTCAGCCCATTGCAAGATACCTCCCGTGGAAATGAAAGCAAGGGTCTGGAATGGGATTGGCAGACTGCAAGCGCTCAGAAAAGCACTACACTCTTGATAATACTACTTCAGACCCTAGGTGACCCTAGCCTCGCCCCAGTCAGAAAAATTGAAGTCTTGAGAGCACAGGTCAGTTCAAAGCCTACCTCAAACATGGACACTTCACCAATGCCAGGGGTCTAGAATGG